CCTGCCGGTCCCAAGATAGAGTGAACGAGGAGAAGGGTTGGGGACCGAGGCGACGTCCCGGTAAATTTGAAAGACCTGTCCCTCATGGTACCCTCGCCAATGCACGATATAACGACTACGTCTTGGTCCGTGTTAGCAAGGGTCGCACAGGTTGTTGGGGGAACTGAAGCAGGCTGCAAAAGACAGCGATCAGATCAACCTTCCCTGCTGACAGCTGGGGCCCTAGCAGTATAGCGATGGCTGCCAACGATAGACAAAAAGGCAACGAAAATGCCAATCAGCAACGTAACCGCTGTCCGTTCTGAACGGAGGAGGCAGACAGCGCGATGCCATAGTAGCATGTCAGACAAGGCTTCTGAAACGACACCGCCAGTGGGAGCTTACAATCAGAAACTAAAACATATCGTCACTCAGAAGCAAACAACAAGAGCTAGTTGATGAGGCCGCAAGTACACGAACTCGGTATGAACTAGGTCAGCGAACCACCATGGCTATGGAATCTTGAACCTCAGCAGGTGGAAGTTATTCTACGCAGGTGTCGAAATCGCTACACACGCTCAGACCGGTGTAGGTGATCTGGTAGAACCAAACCAGGCTGACAGAATTATGTAATGGAAACCTGTTAGTGGATGTGACATTCGTCCCATTGAAGTAACAGTAGGCTAGAGATTTCATCGTATTACAGTTCAATCCACAATATTTGGAAGGAGAACAGGAATCATACTTGCAGAAAGTAGGAGTTTTGTACGAAATGCTGACTACAGAATCACTTATCATAATGGGAGATGTCAATGGACATACCGGAGCAGGCACTGAAAAGTGGAAAGACGTGATTGGAAAGAATGGCCTCAGCGACTTCAACGAAAAACAAAATCAAGTTATTGCGATTTTGAGCAAACAACGGACTGCCCATTATGAACACCTTCTGTGAACATCGATTCGCGCATTAGTATACCTGGTATATTAAAGTTTGTACACAGAAATCGATGATCGATTTCATACGAGAATTCTCTGAATTATGAAGCTCTCTAATGCATGTTCCAATCAAGGGAGGCGCAGAGCTGTCAAATGATTATCACCGTGTTGTTGGCACTCTCCGTTGTAAACGACGGAGTAATATGGCAAGTCCTGGCAGCAAAAGTGTCTAGAGAATCCCATGGGGAACTATACCCTCTGTGAATACGAGGGCAAACTAGCAAACAACATCACACAACAATCAGAACAGATCCCCGTGATGACTGCTGTCATGGAAACCGAAATGAAGCGAGCTTCTCTGGACTTACTCAGGGTGGCCGCTGAATGGTGTGGTTTAAAACGGTTTGGAATGACGACCGGAGGTAAGCAATGAACTACTCGGTGAACACGACAGGTTCAACCGACTGTCACCAAAAAGAAGGCTGCATTCAAGGGATGGCTTGGATGCAAAGCGCCTCAACTCGCAAGCAGTACGAAGAACTGCGCAAGGCGGGAAGTGAATGCTGAAACACGAAAGAATTTCCACGGGATGTGGTAGTCAAATTTTCATCGCAAACAAGGTATTGTGGCAGATCATCCGGAGCATCTGAGATGGAAAGAATGGACTCTAAGAGTCCTGACAGACAAGCAGAACTTCGAAAGCAAAAGGAATCCGGATCCATGCACAAAGTCAACACAACACAGATCATATGTGTAGTTTCCTTAAAACGACTAAATGGAAAGAACGGACAGAAGAGGGCATCAGTTTGCACGCAGAACTACTTACCGACTACTTAAAGTTTTTGTGTCACATCTGCTGCACCATCGAGGCTTTCTGAGGAAGCTACAGCGGTTTAACTTCAAAGGCTTAGGAAAGAGCTTTCAAAGGAAAAATCTGAAACGCTGTGAAATCACTACCGAAAATTATAGAAGAGGTCAAGGTAACCCAATTTTGACTAGCAGAACATATCTTAAAGAAAAACGCTTCTTCACAAGATACGTTGAAAGGTCTGAAAACTATTAGTGGTTTCAGAGTTCAAAATCGACGAAACTTAGATCCGAAAGATCGAGAGGAATTAAACTGATGCTGTTTTAGAACTGATGATGGCAGAAAATGGCCAGACCATTTTAAGCATATAGCGGCAGTCTCTCCTCAGATTCAGTTGAATTCTCTGAGAACGACGAATGCTCCTGCTTACTCAGATTACGACCAAACATTTCTGATGGTAACAAAAAGACTCCAGGCGTGCTGCCAAAATTCTGTACCGCTTAACTTGGGAATCCCCCACCCCCATCCATTTAATTCAACAAATCCATCACATACGTCACAATTTCACAACTATGACGCATAGGTATGATAAAACCAGTGTATAGAGTGTCTAATCGAAGCGCATCATTACCTGCTTGGAGTCTCTAGAGTCTTGGAGTCTCTATTTCGTTAAATGCCATTAAACAGATGGTGCTCAAATCCATGAAGGATGAAATCGTGACTAAGCAGGATGGCAATCAGTTTGCTTATGAGTCCCAAAGAAATTGCATAAGTAGGCTAGCTTTCTTGTAGGCAATAAAACAGGCAGCATGGATAACGGCAGATGCGCAATGCGTACGCTATTTTTCGACTTCTTTTTACCTAAATGCAATCCCTTTCATGCAATGCTCTCTGTCGGCAGAAACTGCTAGAGATGCACATTTTACGCCCTTAAAATGTCAATATCTAGCAATGGTTTAGAGACACTTTTCATTGCTATTACAGTATGTTTCAATGAGTAACAAATCTTCATTGTACCAGATATCAGAACAACAACCTTGGAATTATTCAGGGCTTTGTCCTTCCTTCCCCACCGTTCAATCTGTACATGAACATGTCTCACTGAACATTCGATTATCAGTGTGAATTACGCTGATGATCTAACCATCATTCCAAAAATCAGCACGATGGAGAATATGGAAGCTTATGAAGGCGCACTTCATATCGTCGAGTATCTTGCCTCTGATCATGGCCTCATCTGAAACAATTCTAAGTCAGCCAGAAGGTGATTTTCTTTATGCGGAATATTGAAACATGGCGCTTCACCAGACAGGAAAAGAACACACGTGTCAGTGATGAAACTGTCGACAGTGAGCAAAGTCGAACACATGGGCTTGGTGTCGTCATCAAACTTCAAATGGTCAACTCACATAACGGCTGTTTTCAAGAAAATCAGGAAGGCATCTAATCATGTGCGTCGCCTGGTCAAGGTCAAGTCTGATATACTAACAAAAGTGGTGCAAAAAATTTGAGGCACGCATCTTGCCACCGCTAACCTATGCAGCTCCAGTCATCTTTCCTGGCACGCGCGAAGCTATCTTACACTGAGCGTCGGATGTTGCATCTTGTGTTGCGGGTCAGAGGGATAGGTTTCGAAACTTTGGCAAAACAGGTAGTCGCTTCCATGATCAAACACACTGCAACTCGCTCGAGAGATCCTAGATGACGCCATTGGTGCATCAAATGCCTCATTACCCGAATGTCTTTCGCTATGAATTGATACGAGTTCAAAATATCGACGCATGCCTACCCCTACAAAACTTGACAGAAAATCCGTCGTTCCATTCATGGCGCGCTATTTAAATTATTTCGGAAATGTGAAATCTTTACCAAAATATGCTAAAAGGCTTAGCCCCACACAGCTACGCTTTAGGCAGTAAGTTAAATTAAATTCAATGAGGTCGATGAAATTAACTGTTAGTATTACTGTTTCTAATTGTATCAGACTTTATCGCTGCATGTTACTGCGGAGTTTGCTACATTAGTAACTACTTAGAAATTAAACAATTTTCGCACAAACTACTGCACTGTTCACGTAAGAAACGAAAACGCAAAACAGATAAGGTATTTTTACAAACTTTGAAACTCCCGGGACCCACTGCACGGTCAAACTTGGCCACTCCAAGCTCTGCGTCACGACCTAGTAAGAGAAGTTAGAAAAGTCACTCGATAACATACACTGCTGTCTTACGAAGTCGTAAAGAAAGGCAGCATTCTTCTTCCATATTTTATACTCCTCGTTGATCGTTTCTTCAGACCCTTCACTCATGCTGATCGATGTCTCGGTTTAATCCTGCAAAACAAAAGAGTTTAAAAAACGTGAAAAATTAATGCAAAATTGACTTTATAGATTTGAATCAAGTCTAATGTCACTTCCAGATTTGTCCACTTTTCAAGGAAACCTTTATCTGTGCCATCAGCAGCTACTTCAGGATTAATTAGCTCATTTTTCAAAATATCACATCACACTTGAAAGCACGATGAGAATTACAAGGATGACTTTGCGCAAGAAAAAACGGAATCCCAAACAGACCAATTCTGACATCCGTCGAAGCAAAATCGTCCACATCGTCCCTAAATTTAGGAATTTTGACAACTTTCGCAAAATCACCAACGCAACTACCGTAAGCCATATTCTCAGAGGACACATGTAGACATAAACGAGCTGCTAGTTGCTCGACACAGAAGCGTTTCTGAAAGAATACGATAGAACTGGCGAACGAGCGCGTACCGATCTGCTAAATCTTCTGACACCGCAAGACAGAAACGTTGGCGGAAAACATCTGAAAACCTAAATTTCACATACTCGAGCTGTATGGGGTGGAAGTCGCCGTGCGCTTTGGAAGAGGAGGATCCCATGGAATATCACGTGACTGCCAATGCTTTCGGTGCCAAGATCGTGCAGAAAGTCAAAAACCTGGTAGAAAAGATAGAAAAACTACAAACACGCCAAGAACGGAAGAATTTTCACTTTCCTATCAGTGACCTAAAAGCTCTCTGCTCTCATAACCAACAGAGACGATCTCACTGAAGCAAATAGAGGTAAGACAGCAGGTCTCGATTGAATTTGAACCAAACCAAACTAAAAGGTCGAATATGTAGACCGCTCTTTAGACGAAATTCATTGCATAGGGGAGATACCGATCACATAAGAAAATGGTGAAGGTCCTTGCGATTCTGAAATCCGAGAAGCTACCAAATGAAGCTGAAAGCCAGGACAAATCTCGTACGCTAGCAAATATACAAACAGTTGGAACGGGCATTCCTTGCATGCTTTACGCTCATCACAGATAGAGCACTGCCATACAGCCTGGATTCTGGCCCGGAAAGTAGCAAGTAGCAGTCTTATACTCTGAGAACCATTTAGAAGAATATGTGCGAAGGTCAAGGTCCGCAACAACCGTTGTAATGAAGAACCAAAGCTACTTTTAATATTTTCTTGTCTGGGAGCTATCAACTGCATGCAGATGCACAGAATGTGATGCAAGTTTGGAAGAAATGATAAGGACAGAACTATTGAAACGTCGGACTAGACATTCACCCCATTTTCGTTAGCAGTCCCCCAAAAGTAAATCTGAGAATCTCTTGACAATACTAAGCATCATTAATATCTTCAGTTCTACTATTCTAAAGTGCTTAGCTTTAATAGAAGAATTCTAAGTAAAAGAAAGCTGCTTCAGAAACGACAAACAACAAAGTCTTATGGCTTCTGTCAGTAAGGCTATCGTTGCCATCGCATTTAAAACCGTATTTGAATAGCAGCTACTGACGCTTTCTGGGAAGTCTAGAAAGAAATGACGAATCAGAATAATTTTATATACCGGCAACTGTTGTGGACAAAATCATGTTCCGTCGTAAACAAAAACGTCTATCCGCAGTCGATACGCGCAGGCATTGCACTGAAATGCAACTCCCCTGAGGATAATGACGTCTAACCAGTTGAAAAAACCTTGATTACACTAATTTATCGTCCGTGAACGTTCTGCCAAACAATCAGAAAGTACTGTAATTCAGTTTCGAAATAGCTAACTTCTCATCATGTACGTTCATCTGCTTTGAGTCGGCAAAAAATATGAAAACCTATGCTAAAAGCTAGACTGCTATCATGTAACACGCAAAAGATGTGACTTTACGTACTAGTATAAGGCACAGAGGTAAAGTAATCTTAGAGGCCGAGTCGGGATATAGAAGCCGCTTCTGACATGAATTCCATATTCAGAAACACCATAAAGTCAATCAGTCGCGTAGTGTTCTGTTTTGCAACAGAAATTAGAGCGATCATTATTTAAGTAAAACAACAAAACCACGCAGTCCTGTTCCCTTCTCAACTACCTTTGGTTAATGAGATCAAATATGTCCATCGAAATTGTTGCATCCAGAACTCTCCTGATCAGTTTACATCTTTTTGAGTAGTACTAGAAATTTTAATTTTGAGCATGGCGGTATAGTGGCTAAG